TCAGTCGGGTGCTATAGTACCCCGCGCGCCTAACGGTGTAATTTTTTTTCGCGCGACTAACGGAGGTGGGTCGATCTGACTTCGTGTTTTGAGGGAAAGCTTATTGGTTGATATAGAGTCAGTCATGATAGAAATGACCAATTAGAGCATAAAAGGCGTAAAAACAAAATTTTTAAAGCCAATAAACGGCAAAAAAGTTTCCCATAGACTTAACATTGACAGTTTGAAAGGTGGCGTTTTTTGGCGATATTTATTGCTAAATGGTGTTGAAAACATGTTTATTCGTCTAAATAATTTCAAGCGACTTATTATTAGCAAATTAGAAGTGGAAAAAAAGATTAAAACACGCGATTTTGTAGCGATTGTTTACATACTTCCGTGTGGTGGCCTTCGGGGGCGTGGCATTTCGCGGGAATATTTCTAGCAATTGTTTTTATAGGTCGATCTAATAACAGACATATAAATTAACCAATTACAGTGCAAAAGAAGTTTACTATCGATGTTATCTGCAAATAATCTCCACTTTTCCTCCTAGTTGCTGTATGATTTTAGATGGTGTATTTTTGGAAATTCATAGATATTTTTGGCCCGGGGTTTCGGACAAAGAATTTATTGTTGTGGTAGTTAAAAAACACATGCAGGAAGACGATTGACAGCTTAGATAGCATCAGACTTGTTTACAGTTTGTAAAATACGCTCTTGAAGTCGACCAATTTTTTTTGAAAAATTTTTAAAAACGGGATACTTTCTGTTTTTCGTTACGAATAAATAAAAACGATATATTTGAAGTAGTTTTTTTCACTAATACATCAAAAACACATGCCCACAAACATCCAAAATGAAAAAATCGCGAAAAAAACTATGAGTTTTGAAAAATTGAATTTTGAACACGAGGGTTATATAGAACCCCGCGCGCCCAACTGTGCGTGAGTCATTAATGCGCGTAACCGAGGGTTAAAATGTATTCGGAATCTGTCCGATATATGAAAATTTTACATTTCGAAGTCATTTTAGAATGAGTTAATGATTTAGAATGAGAGAATAACTTTGTCATTGTTATAATAAAATATGTTTAGGTCAACACGAGCAGCTAACTTGCAAATCGTACGAAGAGACAAAAACAATCACGTCACTAGCACCTCTGTTCAAAATCTCAGACTGTTTCCAGCAAACCGTAAGCGTCTTTTTTTGCACCTGGATAAAATGGCAGCCATAACAAACAAACAAACAAGATGACAGCCACCATAAGGCTCTTAAGAGCTCTATTTTGCGTTGATAATATTGAATTTATTTGTCGATGAATAAACCCCGAAAAAATTAATATTCGGTTAGTACGTTAATAGAATATTTTAGTATACTAGTATATTTACCTAAGACATCACATAATTTTTTTTAGTTGTTAAAGTGTAATCTTAGGATTGATTTAATTATTTAAAACTCCTACGAAAATTTAAAATATATTTCTCTCTATTTCTCTTTTCGAAATTTTTATTTTTCATTAATCTGTTTTAATTAAAGAAGTTCAAAAATCATTTAACGTAACGTGGAAGTCCACATCATTCGCCATTTTTTCTCAGTCCGNTATACTAGTATATTTACCTAAGACATCACATAATTTTTTTTAGTTGTTAAAGTGTAATCTTAGGATTGATTTCATTATTTAAAACTCCTACGAAAATTTAAAATATATTTCTCTCTATTTCTCTTTTCGAAATTTTTATTTTTCATTAATCTGTTTTAATTAAAGAAGTTCAAAAATCATTTAACGTAACGTGGAAGTCCACATCATTCGCCATTTTTTCTCTCCCAAAATTCCTGGCAGTCAGCGTTTGTGTTCTCTAGAAAACGCCAGCAGTTGCGTCACTTCCGTTCTCAGCATCTCGCTGGATTGATGCTGAGATTTTGAATACGTTCGTAGATAAAAGAAGCTGACTGAACTAGCTAGAATTCTAGCGGTGGGAGGAGTCGAGCAGTAGTTAGAAACGAGTTCATCGTCGCAGCATAACTACACTTAGCAAGATTTCTGCGTTACTAAACACGGCCCAGGTTACATTTCATATAAGACTTCCATGACGTAAGGTGTCCGCATCCCTATGGTTGATACAAAAGTTTTGGTTGGATTTAAAAATTTCCAACATTGCTAAGAACCTAACAGTGTTACGATCTTAGCCGGTCTAATGATTCTGGCCTCATTCCACTTTCATTTGCATATCGCATTCGGCGGCATAAGCCGCTGGAGTTGAAATGCTTTTCCAATGTGTTCATTTATATTCCTTAATTCTTTTTGCCAAGGTACTGTACGTCTGGTAGCTCCCACGTGCAGTACATTACATTCGAGTCAAAACACGCCCTCAATTGGAATCGTGTAAACACTGGAGAAGTTTTTAAGTCTGATAGGGTCCTTGTCGTTATGTAAGATTCCAAAGACCGTCGGATTACGGTTATATAATGTTTACATTACTTATATCGGCTAGTTCATGTATTCTTTCTAACATGGGAAAAAATGTAACTCAATTTTCCTCTTAGATGTCAGTTGGAAAGACGAAGTTTTTTTTTCTTTTTTTTAAAGGCGTTAATTAATTTACGAATCAAAGTTGCAGGAAAAATCTATTTCAGTTCTTTCAAATAATGCAAACTTTGCATTATTCTGTTCATTAGATTTTACTCAATAAATGTTTCAAAATGCTCACATCATTTTGACTCACCCTGTCATCAATGATGTATCAAATCAAAAATAATTCCAGATGAGGTTATCTGATAGCCTTAAATATTAAGTTTGTTTTTCCAAAGATAGTATAAAAATGTGGATTCTAAACTATTAAATACTAACAGACCCCGCCACGCGTTGTTGTGGCTCATGTATAACACTTCCCCGTGGGGGGGAAATTTTTCGAAAAATTTCTTTTTAGTGTATATTCTCTTGACGTACCCTATTAAAACGCAAAAACCCGCATCTAAAATAATATAATAGAAGCCAAGTTCTTCACGGTAAGCCTTAATTCTGTCCCTCTCCCCGCGGGGGAATATCGAAAAATCCCTTCTTAGTGTACATTCTGTTGACGTACCCTATTAAAACGCAAAAAACCGCATCTAAAATAGTATAAATAGAAGCAGAGTTCTTTACGGTAAGCCTTAATCCTAACCATCTCCCTTCAGTGGGGGGAATTTCGACACGTATATTATATAAAAACACGTGCGTATTCGAATGCAGCGTTGTGTCAAAATTTCAAAAGAATCGGTAGGAACAAACGAACATTACATTTTTATTTATATATATAGATATAAGATGATCTGCCTTAGTTCATTTTCACAGAAAAGCAAACTTAGGGCGTCGTACTCGTAGCGCCATCTGTTGGACACAAAAGCCTTAACCATAGATGATATCATTTAATTTATAGGAATGTTTAACGGAATAATATACAGCCTATGTCCGCCCTGAAGTTCCATTCTAAATATTGGTGAAAGAATTTTTTAAATCGGATGAGTAGTTTCGAAGATTACCTGCTGCAAACAAACTTACATACAAACATTACCTGTTTATAATATTAATATAGATAGATTTACAGATTATACCGGAGTATCTTACATAGTTCAATTTAGCTGCTATTGAATTATGCAAATGCATATTTTAAAGTATTTTTCTGCATAATTTTCAATATGTAAGAGAACCATTAGTTCACAAATAAATTAATATCAAGATTGGATTTGGATTTTGAGACATGCCAGATTTAAATCAATTACATTTGAAATGATCATTATCAAATAATGGAATCTTTCAACATTGTAAGATGCAAAGCACATTTTTCATGCATTCATAAAATTATTTGCTTCCAGATATGCACATCCCATCCTATCCCAATGCAATATTTTGCATTAACATATGTAATGCTTCCATCTAGACATTTCTCTTCAATCTATTGTACAGTATTTTCAAACCATTGGTACTTCAGTCAATCAATGCCTTTTCCCATTTTAAAATCATTGTGAAATTATGCTATTTCTTAGTAATTGTGTTTTATTTTTGTATTGTTTTCTTTCTAGAGTTTATTAAATTTATATTAGACATTTTTTGGTTGGAAAGGAGAATCACTGCCTTGAAACATTCTTCTAGGCAGATAATTTGTTCATATTTAATACTATCTTTTTTAACCAAAAGCTGATTTAAGGTGTTTTCATATAATTAATCAAATGCAAATTGGCTACATTTTATATTGTTTCTCAAAAAGCACTCTGTCAGCAAACAGTATTAATGAGAACCTTGATAGGTTCTTGCTAAATGACTTGACAACTTGTTTCTGCTTAGAAAACATGACACAAACACTAACAGTTTTTAATACCTTAAATAACTAAAGAGCATTTGTTATTTAAATGATTTCTGAAATGAAAACTGGTTGGCACACAAAACACACACTTTAATAAAGGAAAAGAAAATTTGGAATTAACATAACATATTCAGCAAATAATTATTAGACTATCAAAAAAACACCTTATGTTGACTTTTGGAATTAATGATTCATTTCCAATACTGATTTCCAGAGCAATCCAAAATTAAACTTTATCATATGTTTGATAAAAAACATATTATTATAGCCATAGTTATGAACTCTTGAAATTGTTTTGTCCATAATATGCAGTACCGATACTTGAAATTGGCACTAGTACCTTGAGGCAAATTTTTATCTATGCCAGTTCCTTTTATACTGTGTCCAAACAGTTGGTGATATACTATTGATTGCAATGTTGTCATATCAAAAGAATGCAATAAAATTTTTAAAAGTATCTTTTGTGATCATCAAATGATTAATTATTTAATATTTGTATTAACGAGTACTTTGAAAGTTTTTATTTAACAAATAGCATTTGTTATAAAGAAGTATTATACTCTTTTGTTTTTAAACAAATAAAAATTCTAATATAAACACAATAATAGTTATAATATATTAGAATTTATTTACATATATAAAATTATATACTGGAAAATAACAGATTTCTCCAGTACATCATATTTAAATTTTGATGTATGCAATGCTTTGTTATGCCAAAATATAATTATTAATTTTTATATTATTTCTGCAGTTGCAATAATATAACAAATATTTTTGACACACTTTACAATAAAAAAGAAATCAAAATTTTTAAAACAAATTTCAAGCATGTTGGCATTTTCTTTCTGATGTATTCAACAATTCCAAAATGTTTAAAGCAGCTTGAGGAATCCTTGTTCCTGGACCAAATATTAAAGAAACACCAGACTGATAAAGAAAATTGTAATCTTGGTGGGGTATTACACCACCGACGACAATCAAAATATTTTCTTTCTTCATGTCCTTTAAAGTTTTAATAAGTTCGGGCACTAAAGTTCTATGACCAGCTGCCTGACTACTAACTCCAATTATATGGACGTCCGCATCAATTGCTAATTGTGCAATTTCTCGAGGTGTTCTGAAAAGGGGACTGACGTCTACGTCAAATCCCATGTCGGCAAATCCCGTGGCAATCACTTTGGCACCTCTGTCGTGTCCGTCCTGTCCCATTTTGGCAACCAAAATTCTAGGTTTTCTGCCCTCAAGTGCAAAAAAGTCATCTACTTTCTTCCTAATGGAATCCAGTTCATTCTGATCAGAATATTCTCCTTTGTACGCTCCCGAAACCATTCTGTCAGAAGCAACATTACGACCAAATACTTTTTCCATGGCCTCTGTTATTTCACCAACAGTTGCTCTTGCTCGAGCTGCATCGATTGCAAGTGCTATGAGATTGCCACTTTTGGTCAGTGCGCATTTTGTCAAGTTGTCTAAACACTCTTTCAATTTAACATTGTCTCGACTCTCTTTTACTTTCTTGATTTTTTCAATCTGAGCATTTCTTACTTTAGTATTATCAACGACGAGAACATCAATGGGTTCCTCATTGGGCAATCTATATTTATTAACACCTACAATAATATCTTTTCCGCTGTCTATTCGAGCCTGTTTTCTAGCTGCACATTCTTCTATTCTCAATTTCGGCATTCCACTTGCTACGGCCTTAGCCATACCACCCATTTCTTCAATTTCTTGTATAATCTCAAACGCTTTATCGTAAACATCATTTGTCAAAGATTCCATCATGTAAGAACCACCCCAAGGATCGATAACGTGCGGAATGCCACTCTCTTCCTGCAAAATGATCTGGGTGTTACGAGCAATGCGAGCACTAAATTTAGAAGGCAGAGCGAGCGCCTCGTCGAAAGAATTCGTGTGCAGGGACTGCGTACCCCCGAACACGGCAGCCATCGCCTCCACGGTCGTCCTCACTATGTTGTTATAAGGATCTTGTTCCGTAAGAGACCAACCAGACGTCTGACTGTGCGTCCGAAGCACGGCGGATTTAGGATTTTTCGGACTAAAATGCTCCGTCACCAGATGGGCCCACAGACGTCTGGCCGCCCTCATCTTTGCAATCTCCATGTAAAAATTCATTCCGACTCCCCAAAAAAAGGAGAGTCTGGGCGCAAAGTCGTCGATCTCCAAACCGGCAGCGAGACCGGTCCTGCAGTACTCCAGTCCGTCGGCCAGGGTAAAGGCCAGTTCCAGGACGGCCGTGGCCCCCGCCTCCTGCATGTGATAACCGGAGATGGAGATGGAATTAAATTTTGGCATGCTTTTCGAAACGTGAGCAAAAATATCGCCCACGATTCTCATGGAAGGTTCGGGAGGATAAATGTAGGTGTTACGCACCATAAACTCCTTCAGAATGTCGTTCTGAATGGTCCCCGAAAGTTTCGCCGGGTCGACGCCACCCTCCTCCGCAGCGACCACGAACATGGCAAGAACGGGAACGACCGCCCCGTTCATGGTCATAGAAACCGATATCTGGTCAAGAGGAATACCTTCGAACAATGCCTTCATGTCCTCCACGGTGTCGACGGCCACACCTGCCATTCCGACGTCGCCGACCACTCTATCGCAGTCGGAATCGTAGCCGCAATGAGTGGCCAAATCGAAGGCGACGGACAATCCCTGCTGGCCCATCTTAATGTTCTCTTTGTAAAATGCGTTACTCTCTTCGACGGTACTGAACCCCGAATACTGTCTGATTGTCCAAGGCCGCTGAGCATACATGGTAGGGTAGGGTCCTCTGGTAAAGGGAAACTTACCGGGTAGTTCATCTTCCACATTGGCACAATCCGATTTGGTGTAGAGAGGTTTCAGTCCAATGCCTTCCGCCGTATTCCGCGTTAACGTTTCCGGATGTTTTCCTTTAAGCTGACTTTTGGCCAATTCGACCCATTCTGCAGGAAAAGAAGATCCGACATTCGACGTCGCGTACGAAAATCTGCTTGCGAGTTTAAAAGAACGAAAACTAGATACCGCTTTAAGCAACGACGCCATTCCGATACTCCATAATACTACGGATACTTTGACGAAAGTGTTGCCAGCTTGCCATCGATGTGAAACTAAAGTTAAAAGTCCAGTTTATTATAGAAGTTAATTTTTTCATTAAATCTGCATAACGTAAACATTTTAAAAATTTAAATTAGAAATAAAATATTTTAATTCTAAATTTTCTTAAACACAACTTTTTATGCAGTTGTCTGGAGATTTCCGTGGAATTTTTTTTTAATTCAATCGAATTAAATTATTTGCAGAAATAAATTGTTAATAAACCATGTTTTGGTAGACTTTTCGTAAATATTGTAAACAATACGTGTATAATTGAACATCACTAAGTACAACTTCGCGATGTTCAATTATTCAAGTCCATAAAGTAGTCAAAACAGTTTAATTAAATAAAAGTATTTGATTAATATTTAAACTCCGCCGATAATCTTGTCATTGATGTAGTATTTATAAATTATTCACGCTGTAAAATTATTTATTTCGCCTACATTTTCAAAGTCGGAAAAGATATTTAAAAAACTTTTAAGATGTATCGGCGAGAAGCGGCAGGGGGCGTCTTCCGTCCTTTCCACGCTTCCGACATGTCTCATCAGACTGGGATCAAAGGTAAATCTGCCGAAAGGTCGTCATCCTTTGCTATCGGTCGAAGGAGGTCGCGACGATTTCCGGCTTCGTTTGGCATTTCCTGTCCAAGGCGATGGAGAACTTCGACTTTATTCGTAAACCGACGACGATCGGTCTAAAATCCCTCGTGCCCTTCTTCTACTCGGGTCGTATTGGAAAGGCGGGTCTTTCGATTTGGCTAAGAAAACTTGAATTGTTTCGTTCTAGTAATTGGATTTATCCACTCTTCCAATGCCGACTGCCCACGACTGTAGTAACGAATTATATGGGAATTCCAACATGTGATGTACTGTACATATACTTAAACTAGAATGAATGAAATTAATAACGTTTGACAGAGCTTAATTCTCAGAAAATTTCTTTTATCGAATTTCCTCTCCAAAAAAATATTAATTGAAGATTCACATTTTATATATATATAAATTGCAGATACAGTACGCTATAACATTGCCAGAAATTGCATTCAGACCTTATTAAAATAATTTATGTTCTGACAAATTAAACACTGTTTTAGCATTTCTCAATTACACAAAATAATACTGTAAAACAAAATAAAAAAAATTCTACATTCACTAAATAGTAATAACAACCCACGAGAAAACCTTTTTTCGAGTGTTATGTCACTATTAAATTCCACATGGAATTTAATAGTGACATAACACTCGAAAAAAGGTTTTCTCGTGGATTGTTATTAGAAAACACAGTGTTAAGTTGTTGGAAGTCGTTTATTCTTACTAAATAGTAATTTGGACTTTTTAGAGTTGGAAATAGATTTGATTCCATTTAGTGTAAAAACAAAAAATTAAATATAAAAATTTCAATAATTAATTTTGACTCCTTGACAATGCTGACTTCAAAGAATTGCTTTGACATGCTTCTCGCCGGATCCTAAAATGGATGGGAATTTTAGACTGGGCCTACGGAATCGTGTTTTGAAGCTTGAGTGTTGAATTAAATTGACGTCTGCCAACGAACTAGATGGACGAGTGTTGCTCGTGTGTTTGCCGTAGGTCTTAGCGATGACACTACACTTTTCACACTTCTCCAGCACTAATTTAATCAAAACCTGTGCTAGAAAAGTGTGTAAGGTGCAGTATGATTGGTATATTTTTTTCCATTTTTTCTACAAGTGTTTTCGTAACATTTAAGTTGGGAACGAGTGCAGGTTGGTCCGTGATATTTGCATTGTGTAGTCGAGCAGGTTCTTTTGGAACAATGAATGGAGGCATTATCGTGCTGAAAAGCATGCCTGTTGGGACGATTAACTTAAGGAGCAGTAAATGATCCTGAAATGTCAATGTGCTTTTCTGAGTTTTGTGTGCCTGACAAAAAACATTTTCACTTTTTTCTGCAGATGAAAAGTATGCCCGGGTCATTATGGAATGACCTCCACCTTGCCATTTTGAAAACCATTTTGGTTAATTTTTTCAGACTATGCCAGTAATACTGATTCTAATACCATTCAGATTAAATTTTTCTTCATTACTGAATATTATGCTCTTCCATATATCACTTCAATTATGGTGTTCTTTAGCAAATTTCAACATTATGTTTCTTGGTAAATAGTGGTGTATATTTCTTCTTTAACTACTTAAATACTAAATGACAGCAGCATGTAATGCAAATATCAAGTTGTTACAAACAAAAAAAGAGATTTAACAATACATTTATTACTATTTCTGAACACAAATCAACAAAACCTTTAACATCTAATAATGAACAATTTTAATGTAAAAACTTTGACAAACATTTTTGATCATAAACAAGATCTATATCAGGTCAACAACGATACCCCAAATTAGAATGCACAGAGGTTTTTTCCTATTTTTTATTGCTAAAAATCATTGCTATTTTTTCTCACATTTTATTGCCTTATTAAAAATTCTTTGAACACTGTACATTCAACTATGGTCTTGTTCTATTCTTGTAATGAGTTCCATAACCTTCAGGATTGCATAAAAAGTTAGCAATAGCTGTTTTATTATATTTAGTCAAAAGTTTACTTAGTTTCTTGCAATGATCCTTTGGCTGCTGCTTTGCTTGCCAAAGCTCTTTCTGTCACTTAAGTTTTTTCCTTACCCATGAAAGTCAAGTTTCTGTGTAAAATAATAGTATATTACAATGCATTAAACCATTTCTATAAAAACATTTGCTTAAAATTTTTATGTTACTTTTCTGATGGATATTTTTAATCTAAATCTACATTTTGCTACTTATTACAATCTGTGAAGTGGTCTTAACTTGACTTTTGTCCCTCAAATTGTTTATTGATTCCTGTTTCATTTACAACTTTGAATATTTGCATACAATTATATATTTCTTTATTACATATCTATCTGTTTAGAATTCAACAGGTTCAAAAAATTGAATAAATTTTCAATGTCAGAAAATTTCATGTGGCTCAACTTTTTCTCTACTACTGTATAGTACTGGTTTTTTGAATTGTCAACAATATTATAATCATTGTTAAATGAAAAGGTACACATCTGATATTTTATTGGTCTTTAGATATATTTCCTGGATTTGTGAAAAATCTTTGCTAAATGTCTGGAAGCAGTTGAAATCCCATTTGAGATTCATCATTTGACATTGCTTGCAAAGACTGTATTATTGTAGAAGAGATGTTAATGGTCTGAGGAGTTCTTTTGTCTGTCACACGGTTATATAATCATATGGACTTAATCAAATAATATATAATCAAGTCTAGTAGATGTTCCAATATTTTCTATTCATTTGCCAAGCAGTGTGCTTGTTATTATTGCACCATATCATCTTTCATTAACCCATCACCTAGGCAAAGGATAATTCTTTATCAGCACCAATGACTTACAATTCAACAGCTACAAAAACACAAAAGTAAAGATTAACTTACTGTTTACCTTGATAATGTTCTTTTATAAATTACATGTCATTTTATACATTGCATACTACACAATGTACACACACAAGAAATAAGTTTTTACTTACTTGTATTTCTAACAACATTAATTTATAGTAATAAATTTTAAATAATTTTCTGTTTTGTAAATTTTTCGTCCAATGGAGATTTACAAAAGAAAAAATTGGAATGTATCATCACCAGGGGGAAGTTTCCGAAATCTGCATTTTCCAGCGCTTGTTCCAGTAGATAAAAGCAGAAACACCCCATAGGATGAATGGAAAGCAAGACATCTGTATAACACCAGTTCCTTTTTTAAAAAGATTTTTTAATTGGATGTAATTGTGTTTTTTAAAGGACTGTTTTTTTAAATTCTGGCGGCATGTAGCCTGTAAAGGAAGGTCTATCACCGTGAATGTGAAGTCTGGAACACAAAAAATAAATGGTGGCCCCTTTTTGGGCAGACTGTCTTTTGTTTAATAATTTTCTGTTTATAAATATGACTAAAATTTTATTATACACAACAAAACAACAGTGTGTAATAACCCACCAGATCACTGGTTGGAATTGGTCTTCAAGACATATCGAAATCTCCCAACCTTCATCACATTTCTACTGATAATGAATGTATCAAGGAGAGTGTCCACAGCTCTGAATTAAGGGGCTTTTTGTAATTAACCAATAGAGATTTTGTCAATGTTTTATATGTTGTAAATGCCTATTAAGGCTTTTTGAGATGGAACTGAGAATGTTGACTGTGCTGCAATTTGAAAAAATTGTAGACCTATAAATTTCAAAAGTTTATAAAAACAATGTTTAGGAATTAATTTAATTTGGATCATAGACTAGCAAATATATTTACACTCAATAGCAAATTACTATTAATACAACTAAATAATACTAAGTCAACATCAAGTACTCTACAAACAGTCAAGTGGGCTACTCAAAGCCAGCATAGTCGCATGGGCTAAATAGTTAAATGTGATAGTCTTAGCAGAATGATGCAGATGATGGTACTGCACATTGAAAAGTTACAACTGGAAAAGAAAGAATTGGTCTGAAGCCTGATATAATCCAAAAATCATTTGCTTTAATATATAACTATTGGGTTTAAGATGTTTATATTTATATAATAGGTAAGTGTAAAAAACATTGATTAATCCAGAAATACTTCATAAATTTAGAAAGCTAAATAATATATTTTTCAATTCCTGACGTAAATAGTCACATTTCCAAATGACAATGACTAAGCAGGCAAGAATATCATCCAATATATTTTGTACCAGTTCTTAAAGTATATGCATTTTGGACTTCAGCCCCTTTCAATACTTGCTTTACATAACATATTTAGTAAAATTATTTTTATATATAAACCGTTTTTGTAACTGACATAAAGATAAGTAAACATTGATCTTTAAAAATAAGCAAGTATGCTAGGTCATTTTTTACCATAAACTGACAACAGACTCACACTGATAACAAAGTTGTGTCTGTTGTCAGTTTGTAAAAGATAATGCCAGATGAGAGCTGTGGTGATAAGCCTCATCAAATATCATCAGAAGCCTTATCAAAGGTCTCATTTGACATTATCTTAAACCAGTCAATTCTATAGAAAACAACAATCTGCCATAAAAAATTGTTACCTTTAATATGGTTCTCTATGGTATCTAAGGAGAAATATCCTGAATAGCCAACATTAATATATTGCATTTAAGAGAAGTCCAGCAGTTTTTCCTTGCTGAGGAATGATAGACATGTGAATGATAACTATCTGGTGTTTATACGATTCCTATTTTTGATAACAGGATAAATTGGCACTGTGAGTATGTTGGAGCTATCGGCAGACCATTGAATATTAGACTAAAGGAACATCAGTACACTCTTCAAAAGGGTTTCTACCCAAAAGCCCTTGTAACCTTTCCTTGTGACAATAACATCAGAATGGTCTTTGATAAAGCACATCTAGCATATCTGTTCTCACACAGCTCTAATATTTTAAAAACCCCTGACATTTACAGAGCAACTAAGAAAGGTTTCATTGCTAATTTTAAAGACACATCTTCAGTATCAATTATATGCCTTTGTGTCGTTATCTTATGTTTATTACGTAATTTGTCTACAAGGACTTATTTTATTACTAGGACTTATTGTACTTGTAACATGGATCTGCAATATGAGAAAATATATCAGAAAAAACAGTCTTTATTTTTCACCTGAACACACGTTACACAATATCATTGTGTTTCGGAGTGTATGTCCCTCATCAGCAGGTTTACGATCAACAATTTAGTTGTTTGATTTCTAAATACATCAACATTCAAAAACATAAGTAGTGCAAATCCAATAAGAAAGATGCTGTAAGTTCTTTTTTTTTTTTAAACTTACAGCATCTGTCTTCTATCATTACTTGGACAAAAAGGTTTAAACTACCTTTTTATGAATGTAACTTATACCTATTGTTATTGTATACAGGATTATTATAGATATTATTGGATTTGCACTACTTATGTTTTCTAAATTTGCACTACTTATGATTTCTAAATACATCAACGTTGATGTATTTAGAAATCAGACAACTAAATTTTTCGTAAATCTGCTGATGACAGACATACAGGTCTGAAACACAATGATATCGTTACATGATATCATTGTGTTTCGGAAGTTTAGAAGATGCTGTAAGTTTTTTAAAAAGAAAAAACTCATAGCATCTTCTAGTTATTTTCATTTTTGCAGATTGACTGGTATGCTGCATATAATGGGGACCAACCCCAGGGTTATCAGCATGCTGGTTAAACTGTGACTAAAAAATAAAATCAATCAGATCTAACAAAACTAGTAATTGAATAAATGTTAAATAAAACATTTTTATGAGTACAATAAAATAACAACATTGTAAATTGATTGACTTACAATCAGGAAGAGAGTTTTTGTTTACAGGGCAATAATTGTTTTATTATAAAGCTCACTTGTCAGATTTATTGACATTAGTAGTATTGTATTAATAGTATTGTATTAGTAGTCAGTGTGGGATGCACTGACAATCTACCCTGATCTTGGAAGATAACACCTTTCTCTCAAATTTCATACAAAACAGATATTAATGGTGTAAGTTGAGATAATTTACAGCCAGTTTTTGAAATTTGATATGTTCAGTTTTGCATTTTTGGGTCAAATTACAATAAAATAAAAAAAAAGCACTTTTGGCATACCATGAGTATTTTATATTGTTAGAAAGAAGACAAAATGCAGAAATTAAGCATATAATTGTAGTTTTTGATATAATGCTGACAAGGTTCACAGTTTAGAATAAAAACTTATTTATTTTCTTTTCATGCACCCTCTGGAGAGAGGTGTATAACCTTACTTAAAACTGAGCATGCCAGTTTTTAGCATACAGAAATGTCTGATTTCTTAGTCTCTCCCAGATAGACTGACATGCTGGGCAATCTGCAAAAATATTGTATATTTGTTATTTTTATTTGTACATTACTGTACTTATACCTTATGTATGTACTTTATTTAATTTGTTATATTGTTTTGTATTTTATTTTTCTTTAACATTCTTTTATACAAGACCACCAGTATGAATTTAACAAATTCTATTTTATTTAAAATTTGTGTTTTGAATTTGGTCTACATAATATTCCATAATCTGAAGATGGCTGTTAAAGACAGTTGAAAATATTTGTTCTTATAAGAAATTGGCTCATTTTAACTGGATTACAGGTGTTAGTTGGTAGTTTTAATGTAATCTCATCCAGTTTTGCAGTATCTCTTAATCTAAAAATTAAGTATATTAAACATCTTTACTGGTAATTGAAGGTTTTTAAGTTGTACAATTATTGCTAATGATCTTAATTTGAATTTTAAGTTTGTTTTTTTTTTCTTTTCTTTACAATGTTGTTCCATTGAAGCTAAAGATAAAATTAAATCAGATTGAAAATGTTATTTAAAAATAAACTAGAAAGAAATATTAACACTGGAGTAGATAAATTACTTAACTTCACTGCCTGTAACCAGTGTTCTTTTCCAAAGCAGAGGACTTTGCTTTGCTTTGGAGAAGAACACTGGTTACAGGCAGTGAAGTTGGATAATTTATTTAAAAATACTTTTTGTTTACTGGAGTTATGTAGTAGTATTTATTTATTTTTATTTTTTAAATAATAATAATTTTGTTATTTCAGCTAATGAAGAACTGAAATCGTTTTTTGGACATTGTAAGGATGGAAAAGTCAGAGTAATAAAAATTAGTATTCAAAATGGTAATTTTTTATTTTTCATTGTTTTGTTATTGGATATTCTTTAATAAATATTACTATATTCTTACTAGTAAATAAAATTTAAGTAGAAGTTATAATATAAAACAATTTGTCTGATTTATATTTAAGTGATTATTATTATTATATAATTATAATTTAAAAATTTGGACTCCGAAAATTTTACTTTTGTTATTATATCATCTGATTACTATACTTATGGTGGTAAATGTATGTATATTCATTCCATATGCACTTGTCATAAACAGTAACAATAACAAAATCGTTTCCAATTTGCATAAAAACATTTTACTTCATTTAAGCTATGATTTAAACAACAAAAATTGGTATATACACAATAATAGAATGATGTATATATAAACATCAACTCACAGCCCGAGTAGATAATAACAACACCAAACAATCGCCTAATTATCGGGCTATAATATGGCTATTTTAAATGATTGGAACTAAGTAATTTGACAATTAGAGGTAGGCGTTAGGCGCCATCTCTTAATTAAATTAATAATTAAATAAATAAATTTAGAACATTCTGGAATAAAAGAACTGGCCCGGGACGGGGCTTGAACCCGCAACCTCCGCTTGCCGTGCGGTGCGCTTGCCAGTTACGCCACCCGGACCCCGAGCGAGTCTTCGCTTCCAGAAGTATATTAGATTTAGATATAACCTTACTTGGTTAAATACATCACCGACTGGGGACGACTCCTTCGCCCACGACCCTAACGGTACTCAGCCGGCTAACGTAACACCCGGCGAGGT